CAATTTTAATACCTATCAATAAGGGAATTTTAAATTAACTGTAATATAGTCACATAATATACTATTCACTATTAAAAATAAGGTACCTCTCTTGAGCCCTCCCTGGTGGCGCAATGGATTAGGACACTCACTGCAAGCTGGCTTCAGCCACTTCAATGTGAGTTTGATCCCCAGCCCCAGAGGTGACATACATGGCACAGCAGACCTCTCCTGCCCCACCCTCTGCTCCCCTCAGCAGTGTACTTCATCCATCTATCTGCCTGTTCTGTTGCCCACTCTGTCTCTGGTGAAGCCTCTCACCGCCCCTGCACCTCTGTCTTGTACCTCAGTTCTGTATGCACAAATAAATAAATCTTTAAAAAAAAATTGAGATAGCTCTCATCTTATATCCTTATAAGGACCTTATGTCCAAATTATGTCCTGAAATGACACATCATGTGAGAAATGAATCTGGTATGATACTGTTTATGTTCAGAGAAAATCTCTAATCTCTGAAAGACTAGACAAGTAACTGGTCAATGCTACCTTAAGGAAGAAAGTAGGAACCGCATTTGTATCATATGCCTATTACCACTCAACTAGAAATCATTTACTTTGAAAATATTTTATCATATAGTTTTCATCCAGATTTTAAATCTAGGCCCACCTCCTTTGTAAAGTACTTCAGCAAAGAGGATGAACAGGCTTTCAAATATGGCTGTCTGAAGGAGCAAAGAAGATACAATGAAACAAAGAAAGTTTGTTCAGCAAATGGTGCAGGGAAAACTGGGAAGCTACATGCAAAAAAATGAAACTGGATCACTGCCTCTCACTGTACACAAAAATCAACTCAAAGTGGATTAAAGACCTAGACATAAGAACGGAAACTATAAAATACCTGGAAACAAAGATGAGCCAAACACTACACGACACACACAACACACACTTCAGCGACATATTTAAAGATAGAGCACACAAAGCAATGATAGTGAAGGCAAAGATAAATAGATGGGACTACATCAAGTTAAAGAGCTTATGTACAGCAAAACAGATATTACAAAAAACAGACAGCCCATTAATTGGGAAAACATTTTCTCACACAAAACTAGTGATAAAGGACTGATCACAAAAATATACGGAGAACTGACGGAATGCAACAAAAATAAAGTTAACAACCCATCAAAAAATTGGCAGAAGAGCTAAAAAGACACATCTCCAAAGAGGAAATGCAGATGGCCAACAAGCATATGAAAAAATGTTCAACATCACTTGTAATAAGGGGGATGTCAATTAAAACCACGATGAGATACCACCTCACCCCAGTGAGAATGACACATCTTCAAACAACTAGCAGCAACAAATGTTAGCGTGGACATGGAGAAAAAGGAACTCTCCTGCACTGCTGGTGGGAATGCAAACTAGTACAACCACTATGGAAAACTGTTTGGAGGTTCCTCAAACTGCTTATCATGAAGCTTCCCTATGACTCAGCAGTCCCACTCCGAGGTATCTACCCAAAAGACACAAAAACTGATTCAAAAAGACATCTGCACCCCCATGGTTATTGATGTTTTATTCACAATTGGAAAGACATGGAAACAGCCCAAATGCCCAAAACTGGATGACTGTATTAAAAAGATGTGGTACATATACACAATGGAATATTACTCAGCAACCAAAAGAAAGAAACACATGTCTTTTGCAGCAACATGGATGGAGCTGGAAAATGCTTATGGTCATGCTTAGTGAAATAAGCCAGAAAGAAAAGGAAAAATACCGGATGGTTTCTCTCATAGCAGGAATACAACAGAACAGATGATAAACAGCTATATACCAGAGATATTTTGTGGGGATGGAGTGGGAAATAGGACCAAAACAGCAGGGGGGTGGAAATGCACTGGACTATGGTGATGGCACACAGGTGATTTGGTGATGGGAAACCCAAGGGGATTGCAACTGAGATGGAAAAATACATAAAAATAGGTAAAAATAAACTACTATAAAAAATATGGCTATCTGGCCACAACCACTGTTAATTACACAAGGACTTCATTAGAATTATCACCTAAAGACTGGGGTTGTGGTTACCTGTTACCACCAAATGCCAATAGAGACAGAAATTGAATCTTAATTTTTTTTAAGATTTATTAATTTATGCATACAGAACTGGGGTACAGGTCAGAGGTACAGGGGCAGTGAGAGGGTTCACCAGAGACAGAGTGGGGAGCAGAATGGGCAGATCGAGAAGTACACTGCTGAGGGGAGCAGTGGCAGGTCAGGAGAGGTCTGCCACACAATGTGGGTCAGCTCTCGGGTGGAGGATTGAACTGGCGCTGAAGTGGCTGAGGCTAGCTTTGCAGTGCTGCGCCTTAACCTGTTGCACCACCAGGGAGGGCCCAGAAATTGAACTTTATTTTTATTTTATAAATACATTAAAAAAGATTTATTTATTTATGCATACAGAATTGGGGTACAGACCAGAGGTGCAGAGGTGGTGAGATGATTCACCAGAGACAGTGTGGGGAGCAGAACAGGAAGATCAACTGAAGTACACTGCTGAGGGGAACAGCGGGTGAGACAGGAGAGGTCTACTGCACCATGCTGACCAACTCTGGGGGGCTGGGAATTGAACTCATACTGAAGCAGCTGCGGCTTGCCTGCAGTGCTGCAGCTTTAACCTGTGCCACCAGGGAGAGCCTCATTTTGTACACTCTTTCATCTTAGTTGTAATCCCCTCGGACTTCCCACCACCACTTCACCCATGTGCCATCACCATAGGAATTGAACTTTAAGTTGTGCTTTCATCAGACATCCAGCAATCCGGAAGATGAGGGTTAACCCCCTAAAGAAACTGTCTTAACACTCACTTTCAGCTGCCTTTTTATAGTGAGTTGAACCAAGAGTTCGGCAATAAGCTGGCCATCACTGTGGCCAGGAGCCGTGATGTCCAGCCCCTGGAGCTCCTTATCGCCCTCCTGGAACCTGGCCTCAGGCCCATCCCAGTATGCTGAGGCTGCTCTTCAAATAGCACTGGCTCCGCGTACTTCTCCAGACGTGTACTTGGCTGGAAAATTAACTCAAGAGTAGACAGGCCATAAGCAATATGCATGTGCAGATTTCCCATAATACCAGCTTAATGCGTCACCGATCTCCTCCCCCTCTCTAGCCCCCATCAGACTGACTTTTCTCCAGCATATATTATGGATTTTGTGCTAAGTTAGGCACTATAAATAATGATAAATGGAATAAAGTCTAACCCTTTGGAGAAGCAGGAGACAATGAGGAAGAAAAAGGACAGAAGGATACCATTTGACTCTACTGGAATTTCTTATGCAGCAATTTAATTTTGTTCTTTGTTTTAGGAAATGGAGTTTGGTTATAGTGGTTGTTTTGACAAGTCTTAGATAACAACTAGAGGGCCTCCCTGGTGGTGAAAGGGTTAAAGTCTAAGCATTGTCAAGCATTCACCAGCCACTGCCCCATGAGTTCCATGCCCAGCCTGGGAGCTGACCCACATGGAATAGCAGACCGCTCCTGTCTCTCCTGCTGTTCCCTTTGGCAGTAGATTCCAGTAGATCTGCCTGTTCTGCTCCCTACCCTGTCTCTGGTGAATCCTTTCACACCCCCAAATCTCTGGCCTATACCCCAGTTCTTGTATGCATACATAAATATAAGTATTTAAGAAAAAATAAAATAATTGGGTCATCTTGTTTTTTATTGAAGTTTTATTGAAATATAATTGACATTGTGCAGTTTTAAGTTTTATAACATAATGACCTAATATATGTACATATATACTACAAAATGATTGCCATAGTAAGATTAGGTACCATCACCAGTTACAATTCATAATTCTTTTTCCTTGTGATGAGAACTTTTAAGATCTACTCCCTTAGCAACTTTCAAATATACAATAGTATTATTTAGCTATAGTCATTGTATTAAATATTGCATTTCCAGCTCTTATTTATCTTTCAAACTGCAAATTTATGCATACCTTTTGACCACATATTGCCTACCATCCACCTGCCCCTGGGGCAACCACAAAACTGATCTCTTTATCTCTCTCTCTATCTCTATACAGATATATATATACAAGTGAGATCTTAAGGATCTTCCTTTGTCTGACTTATTTCACTAAGCATAATGCCTTCAAAGTCATCCATCATATCACAAAGAACAGGATTCCCTTCTTTTGTAGGATTAAATAGTATTCTCTGTGTGTGTGTGTATTAGCATTCATTGCTTTATGACAGGGACAAGTTCTGAGAAATACATTGTTAGGCATTTGTGTCACTGTATAAACATTTTAATGTGCTTACACAAACCAAAATTATATCACCCACTACACACCTTCACTATACAGTTGGCCTCCGGGACCACAGTCACATATCTGGTCTGTTGTCGATAGAATCCTTATGTAATACATGACTACACATACACACACACACACACACACACACACACTTTTTTTTCTTTATACTGAGGTTTCCTGCAGTTTTCCTTGTCTCAGTTATTGTAAATATTGCTGCCGTGAGTATTGGGGTGCACATCTTTTTGATTAGTGTTTTCATTTTCTTCAGATAAATATCCCAAAGTGGATGGCCTTCCTGGTGGTGCAAGGGGTTGAGTCTCAGCACTATGAGTTACTGGAAGCCACTGCAGCATGAGTTTAATCCTCACCAGAGAGGTGACCCACATGGCATAGCAGACCTCTCCTATCTTGCCCCCTGCTCCCTGCAGCAGCATGTTTTAGTCAGTCCACCTATTCTGCTACCCCCTTTGTCTCTGGTGAATTCTCTCTATCACCCCCCCACCACCACCACTCCCACCTCTAGCCTACACCCCAGCTCTTGTATGCATGAATAAATAAATCTTTAGAAAAAAATACCCTGAAGTAGAATTGCTGGATCATATGGTAGGTTTTGTTTTTTGTTCTTTTTGAGGAGTCTCCATACTGTGTGTTCATAGAAGTTGCACCAAGTTAGTCTTCCAATAGCACATCAGGGTTTAGATCTGGGTCATCTTAAAGGACAGAGATTTAGAAGCATCTCATTATTGCAGTGATCCAAACCCATGCATCTCATCTCTTCATCAAAACCCCATTTGTTGCTCTTGCCTGGCCCTGAATATGGATGGTGAGGATGAGAGGTGTAGGTGAGGACAAAGGGGTCTTCCTGAGGTGAATGGCATGTGGTAGATGAGTAGTAGCTGTTAAAATCCACATGCACCTTCTCTTCATAAAGATCACCGCCTGGATTTGGCCATAATGAGTGGCAGCTAGTTTTGGTTGCAGGTGGTTCCACTGGAATCTGCTGAGGAAAAGCTTCTGGAGAGTTCTGGGAAGAGGTGAAGTCATAAGGCCAGCTGGTCAGAGGAAAAGGATAACTGGGGCAACAGTTATCATTGAAAGGATTTCTCCCAAAAGCAGCATTTTTATTCCATGTTTGCAGATCACTGTAGTCAGGGAAAGCTCCAGAGACAGAAGGCTGAAGCAGGTCGCTGCTGTTGTAGATCCTACTGTTGGACAATTTGCATTTCTCATAGAGCTTAGTGGGGCCCATCGTGGAAGTGGGGTCCACCAGATCAGTGGCTCCCCCAAAACCATAACTCTTGGAAAAGGATAAGCAATCATTCAGTGACTTTTGCTGGGGTGCGTTAGCTATTAAATGTCCACTATAACTACCAGGCAACTGGATGCCTTCTTGGGAAGGCCAAGTTAAAGGTAAACTTCCCCAACTTTGTATTTCACCTGGAAAAGACTGGAAAAGAAAATGAAATGCTCATGTTAATAAGTTAAACGAATGGGCACAGCCGCCCTAAACACCCACAAGTTACTCTGTACAAATAAGTGCTTTGGTAGTTTCCTCATTCCTCACATACTTGAAGCACCAACACACAAGGCAGCTGTACCACAACCAGGCAAAATCCAAGAGAAGAGAAGGCTGCTTCCACTTCTGTGTTTAAGCTCACTAATCACTGTGAGCTGGCTTTCCATTTATTCTGAGGAGAGCGAGTATGTCGGAGTGTTTTACCATCAAAAGCAAACCTGATGTTCTGTCTTTGTGAAAAACTGGTAAGGGGCTATTTAGGAACAATCAAACTACAACTTTAAAGATCTGTATTATACCCAATACAACTCTTAGGAACCCTATTTGTCTTCCTCATCGTCCCCCTCCTCAGCCTCCTCATCATTTCCCTCCTTGATGTTTCTATTTTTTAGTGCTATTCAGAGGATACTAGATCAGGGTTTGTTGTGTTTTTTTCTTTACCCCCCACAACACACTTCTCTAACACATGGAAATTGTTGAATCATAAACAGGACCTTTAGAATATGAGTGGTAAGATTGTTTTTATAAATGGAGGAAGCATATTTTCTTCCAGTTAATTATAGCAAAAGGATCTGAGGTTGAGGATTAGTTTATCCTCTCGTTTTATGTAAAGCCGCAAACCAGTATCAGGATGGGGTAGAAATTGTGACCAAGTAAGTGAATGGGTGAAAATACCCTTCAGCTTTGTCACCTGGCTGAGAGAAGGGAGGAGAGACAGTCGGGAGTGTGGGAGCTTATATTTTCCTATAACAGACTCATATGTTTTTTATGTAAGATACATTTACAGCCTCCACAGATGGACCAAATCCATCTTTGTTCCCCTCAAATGAAATCCAGAGCATTGAATGGTAGAAAAATATGTAAGAATTACAATCACTGTCAAGCAAGCAAATCTACACATACATGGTACAATGTCGATAAAGGCATGGACTTCACATCATGATTTGGCTACTGGCAGTAACCTCCATCCCCCACTTCTGGGGGTGACCCTTGTTTCCAGAAACTCATTATGTCCTCTTGTAGAGTGTGCTAAGAAATAATCTGTTCTGGGAAAGATCGGATATTTGGATGGTAGGGTGAACTTAGGGTCAATATTTTGTGACAGTCCTTTCAGTTAATTCTGGATTTGCCAGAAGGAAAAGAGAGTCCCAAGTATGAGTACTAACTGAAGTCCCTGTTTTGAATAGTGGTAGGTAAGATCATTCCAAAATTATATGGAGAACATGCTACAAAGATGGCCGAAAAGATGACTAAAACCCCAGCGTCCATGGGTACTGGTATTTTTGCTTTAGATGAGTCTGTTGTTATGAATTTTGTAGGCAAAGGATCAAAAACATCTCTGCGCTGCCCACAGGGTGTTGAGTTGTATATTTTGAACACACATGGAAACTGTTACCTTAGTCTCTGGGCCTCCCTTCAGCTTTAAAGAGGCGGAGGAAGATGCTGCTTGTGCCTTCTTCATTGCTCTTCTTGCCTCAGCTTCCAATTTGGTTTCTGGTTTGGGATGATCGTGCTCTCCCTTTGACTTACAGGAGTCAAGGAAGGAAAATCAATAATTAGCTTATACTTTCTGGTGTGTAAGATATTATCTTGTGCCCTGCCACATGCTTTGGTGAAATTGCAGTTGACTAGTGTAACCAGATTGCATAAGCCTCTGCATTTCCAAGCCCACCGCGCACTTTCTTCCTTGCTGGCCTTACTGCCAATGCTTCTTCTTCCCATGCAGCTTCTCGCCCACTTGGTATGCTCAAAGTGATAACAAGTCACATTATTAAATGCTGCCTGGAGTATGTCTGTAGAAGGTTGCAATACACACATGATCTCATTTAATCGTCAGCACAACAGGAGTGTCACCCAGTTTACAAAATAGGGAACTAAGTAAGGCATGGGAAGATAATACCACCTGGCTCAGCTCCTGACTTGCAAGTGAGGGCAGCCAAAATTCAAAGTATGTTGGAAGTGGCCACCCTGAGATCCATTTGTTAGATAATTAGGAATTTTGTAAGCTTTTTGCTAAACAAACAAACAACAACAACAACAACAAAAAATAGCTGGTGTTTTGAAATCAACCACGGTGGGCATAGTTATATCATAGAAATTGGCAAGCCCAACAATTTGGGATCTTTCAAAGAGTGGGTTTGCTATCATACCACTGATTCAAACCCAGCAGTACACTCACTACCAAAGGCCACTTTCCATGAGTGTTTGCACTACTGTCCTAGTTAGTACACCCAAGGAAATTGAGGCTTAGGGGAGTAAAGAAGTATATTCAGACTAGAGAGCTAGTTCAGAGTCAGAGCAGGTATTCAGTTCTGGGTTTGTGGAAGGCTGCCGCAGGCCTGGGCTCACCTGGGCACGACCAGCTTACTGTGTCCTCAAGGGAGCTGGAGGCAGAGTGAGCCGGCTCCAGCACCAGGCAGCTCTGTGGAGGTGTGGAGTACACAAACAGCCCCCAAATTCCACCTCCTGACCAGGATGTGCCTTAGATTCTGCATGGATCCTCATCACCGGTGCCTCTCCTATACAAAACTCTTCCTTACACTCTATAGACATTCTTTTAAATTAAAGAAAAATGACATCCTAACTTTTTCAAAGTCAAACCTGAAAAAATATGAAGCGTCCATCGTGCCTCCAGAAGTTGGTGACCGGGAAGCCCCCATGGCCTCGGCAAGGAATTAGCTTCAGTGGCCCATCACAGTTGGGGCAGCGTTTCCCTACAAAAAACAGAGGCAAGTCTGGCTGAGTAATACTGACTCCTGAGTACACACAGCGCCGAAGGTTTTAGCCTGAAGTTGAGGAGAGGAAAGAATATACTTGGGCACTGTTTGGTCAATTTCCTGCACTGGACATTACCCCTGAGCCTGCGCCTGGCCACCAGAATGGCCCTACCTAGTCGCACATGTGGGTAGAGTAAGCGGTTGCCTGCAAATTGGCATATATCACACATCAAGGGAGAGCTCTTCTGAGCAGAAAGTCCCTCCCCACCTATTTATTGACCCTTAATTCTTGATAAAGAAGAGGATTAAATTCTTTCACTTTAAGATTAGAAATAAGAGTCCTCTGTGGTGGCCTAGGGGTTAAGTCTCAGTGCTATCACTTCCATGGCTTGAGTTCAATCCCCGGCCACATGGCACAGCAGATCTCTCCTATCTCACCCAATGCTCCCCTCAGCAGGGTGTTTCAGTAGATCTGCCTCTTCTGCTCCCCACTCTGTCTCTGGTGAATCTTCTCACCCCTCACACTTCTGGGCTATACCACATTCTTCTATACAAAATAATTTTTTTTTAAATCATACAGTACAAATAATTCTTTTATAAAAAGATTTAAAACAAAGGTTTAAGGGGCTAGTCACTGGGAAAAACAGATACTAGATTTTCACCAAAGTTTAAATGACTGATACCAGATCCTGCCCTGAGAGCAAGGTTTGAAGAAAAATTTCAAGAAAAGAATATGAAGTAACTTGAGGTTTCAAGTGGACCAGGTACAGGGAATGCTGGATGCATCTATTTCACAACCTGATGAATATGATAAAAAAAAAAAAACCAAAATGCACAAATAGCATGTGATTATGACATGAACCTAAAGAGCAAGAAATTTTCGCCTAACCTCAGTTTGGGGGCCATGGCTCCCACTCCAGAGCATTTGTTGAGCGCCTTTAAGGACATATTTCCCAAGATGTCAGGGGGCAACTTTGATAAACGGCCTTCTCTTCATCTTTCTGTGGATGCACTGATGAATTAATGTGCGTTCCCTGAGCGGTGTACCCTACTTTTAGGAGGTATCTTGAGTCAGGTGCCCTAATGCAAGGGAGTCACTTTAATGGTGGGTGCTCTGAGCCTGACAGAACCATGTCAGGAACTTGGAAACGAGGGCCGGGGGCTATATAGGAACAGCTTGATCTCTCCCACGTGCCAGCGTGAAGCTGGGCCCTGGGGGTGGGCTGGGAAGCAGTGGCCCCTCTGGCCACGAGCACCTGCAGGGACACGAGTTTCCAGGAGGGCCAGTCCCGGCGCCCCACTCACTCTGTTGCTTCTGCCGGGCTTTGTCGCAGATGGCAGGCCTCAGGTAGATCTTGCGCCCCTCGTCCACGGAGCAGTCGAGGCTGCACACCACCACGCCCAGGCAGGACTTCTTGAGGATCCGCGAGTTGTGGTTGTTGGTGTTGCGCATGGCCCAGCTGCTCAGGTGCCGCTGCGCGCTCCTGTCCTCTGAGCTGTAGATGTACTTCTCGTAGGAATCTGGCCACTCCTGGAACCAGTCGGTCTTTTTCACGTCCTGATAGAATCAGAGAAAATTATTACATTTTAAAAAAGATTTATTTATGCATACTCAGAACTGGGATACAGGCCAGAGGTGTGGGGGTAAGAGGACTCACCAAAAAGTAGGGAGTAGAAAAGGCAGATAAGCTGAAGTACACTGCTGAGGGGAGCCGTGGGTGAGATAGGAGAGGTCTGCTGTGCCACGTGGGTCAGCTCCCTGACCAGGAATCGAACTCCTGCTGCAGTGGCCTCATGGTGCTGCGCTTTAACCCGTTGCGCCACCAGGGAGGGCCCCCAAATTACTACATTTTAAACGTAGAAAATACAACTGCCCAGAGACGTGAAAGTTGTTTGGCACTGGAGAGTTGGTGGGAGAACCCTGGGCAGGGACGAGCCTGGAAGGCATGCTGAAGGGGCGCGCTGAGAACAGGGCTCAGTGCCACCCACAGGGCTGCACATAGCAAGAGAACGTGGCCTGGACCAAAGTAGGTTAGTTCCTTCTAGTTCCACCGGGTTGATGTTTCTCTAGCCCGTAGTGATGAGAATTACGATATTTCTCACAGGAATTTTTGAGTGAAGTAATATTTTTGTGTCGTTACGCAACCACTGTGGAACATATTGTGGCATCGAGATAGTGCCTCATGGCGCACTGTAGTTAGCCACAGAGAACGCTGAGATAAGGTGTGGGGAGGCTGGAGAGCCTGATGCAGGGGGTGCTTGGCGAGGCACTTCCCCCTGCAGACCTGTTCTTCCTTTGGCTCTACTACCATATTCATGCCCTCAGACAGGGCAGAAAAGTCAGGAAGTTGTTACTTGGGCTGGAAGTTTCTAGGTCCTTGCATGGAATTGATATGATTCCTTACACATGAGCATCTAGTTAACTAAAGTGTGTTTTAACATGAGACACAGGACACTCAATGCCTATAGCATCTGTACTGCCTATGTTCACCTGTATAATAGGACTGTAAGACCTGCCTACATTAAGAATAATTCTGAAAATTAAATATATTACAAACACTTGCACACCTCCTGGCATGGAGTGAGCTCTAAATAAATACCAGTCCTAACGTTGTGGCTCATAGTCTCAGGGGGACGGTTGCTGTATTTGATACTTGTTCATCAAGGGGGAATCACTCAACAGTCTCAGTCAAACTTAGTTGGTATCCAGCCCCACATCTTCCAGAAACCTGGTGTGGAATAAGGCCATTTTTCACCTGGGTGATTCTAGAAGGGCCTGAGATAAGATAGAAAAATAGAAAAATCTAGAAAGGCCAAAAAAGGATCATGAGGGTGTTTTTTGCTTCTCCAACATGAAAACACAGTGTAGAATTTGAGGTAAGAAAGACATTTTAGAAGAAAAAAAGGCTAAAATCAACATCAGGATGGAAGGCAGCCTAGGGAGTTTGGTGATTTTTTGAGATTTCAAGTTTAGAATTAGCCAAAGAATTTTGTAACGTGAAACTCTGGGCAAATGACTGTCTCGGAAGCCTTGTTTCTCTCTTTTCTAAAATGGGGATGTTTATAAAACATGCTTCACAAAAGTGCTCCAAAGTGATGTGTTGTAATCTTGAAACCTTATATGATGATAGTTGTTGCTTGAATTGGGATGCCGTGGGGAGTGAGGCGATTCTGAGGAAGTATAAATAGAGATTTTTGTGTAACTGGGAGTTTAAGGATTCAGAGCTGGAGCTGGGATGTGCAAATTAGCCATGGGTAAAATCACAACCATTTTGGTTCATTTGAGTGCTGTCTGTGGATAATTTTATACAACTTCTGCAAAGCTGAGTAGTTTTTGGTAGAAACTGCATGGCCCACAACACCCGAAATATTTACTGTCTACCTCTTTACGAAAAATTCAACAACTCCTGCCGAAGAGCACGTGTCTGGTGAGGCAGATGACCTGGGTGTGGGTCTTAACGAAATTCCTTCACCTCTCAGTGCCTATGTCCAGCTCTGTAAAATGGAAATGACGGGAGTGCCTACCTCACAGGGATGTTATGAAGATCGAATGAGCTAACATACACAAAGTATTTAAAACAGTGCCTGGCACATAGAAGCTTCCAAATATTTTACTAGATCTGGGACCACATACAACCAACCAGTGTGACTGTAAGAGCCACTGGCTTTCAGAAGAGAAAGACCTGAAACAGTCCCCTTCATGCTTTAAACCTTGCCAAAGCAAGGACACAGCAAGAGTCCAGCCCCTATAAAACAAAACTTCACATGTGTCAGTCTTGTTCCATGGTGTTCTCAGAGTACTGACAATGACTACCCCTCACGCATGGCTGGGTAACTGGCATGGGAAGGGAGAAGTGCCCAAGAAGAGACCAGAGAGGGGTAAAATCCTGAGTATGGTCTGCTCCGTCAGGCAGGCTGAGAAGCTGAAAGGGCTGTCTGCTTTTTTTAGGTCTTCCTTCTGCCCCCCAAACCTTCAGCAAGATTCAGCATCCAGGGGTCTTTCCTGGTCTCAAAAGGGGTTAAGTGTTAGCTACCCACAGCCACTGCAGCATGAGGTCTATCCCCAGCCAGGGAGCTGACCCCCACGGCACAGCAGACCTTTCCTGTTTTGCCCACTGCTCCCTCAGCAGTGTGTTTCAATAGACCTGCCTGTTCTGCTCCCCACTCTATCTCTGGTGAGTCCTTTCCACTAACCCCCAACCTCAGGACTACACCCCAGTTCTTGTATGCATAAATCAATAAAACTAAATCTTTATAAATAGCTTGTTTTATTTCCATATATTCAGATTTTCCTGTTGCCTTTTGCTATTAATTTCTACTTTGATTCCACTATAGTTGGGGGAGGCAATATGTTTTCAATTATGTTGACATTGTTGGGATGGATTTGAGGGTCACAATATGTTTTACATTACACTGTCTTTTAAGCTTTCTTTTTTTCAGTAGCCTCTTCCGCTGATACCCTAGTTTTCTACATCTGTTAATATGTTAATAATGTAGTGATAACTTTGATAATGTATGGAGTTAAGAAGACCACTAGGCCTAAATGCATTTACTAAGAGCAATGTGTCTATATTGAGCTGTTCTCTTGCCTTACTTGGGCCTGGTCTTATGTCGTGGATGTTTAGTGGGCTTTTTTTGACATTGAAATTAAGAGAAAACTTAGATCCTGATAATGTGAAAGAACCCAGGTATCAAATGAATGATAGTGATTGCAGAAAGCCTTGTCAGTTTAAGGCACTGGAGAGGTAAAATTTAAAAAGAAAGAATAATCATTTCTTAATCTTGTGTAGCAAATCCCCACAAAATATTTTCTCCTTTTTAGATGTTTTGTTTATTTTAATTTCTAACTTTTCATGAGTAACTCTTTATTTTTTGTCTTGGTTAAGAAGTTTGTGATTTAAAGGTTCCTAACATGCAAATCTACCTAGTTTATATTTTATTATCTCATAAGTAACATCACTGGCAATATAATTAATATTTCCATGAGTTGTGTGTACGGTTTACCAAGACTTTATCCTTGAATTCACTTAACATCTTTGAAACTTCTCACCTTACCCTCATTCTATTTATTTAATGACTTGAGATTTTAATAGGGTACCTACCTTCAGAATGGAGCATATACTATTATATAAAATTAATTAAAGTCAAAATTCTGAAATAAGATATGCAAAAACTACATTATCATGTTATTACATTACAGTTGATTTCCATTTGGAATATAGTTCACTCTCATATAATGCAATTATCTGCCAGATTCCCTTAATAAGAAAAGCACATTCATTTCTCATATATATCTGATCCCAAGTAAAATAGGGAGTGCAAGCAGGTACACCTTTAAGCAAATCAAATAGATAAAGAAAAGTCAGATTTGCTTATGGAACACAAAAACAAATATTCAACCAACATGTTGATTCACACACAGCTTTTCAGGAACTTACCTCTTTTGACCCAACTGGAAACCAAACTCCAAATGTCATCAAAGAAAATAATTTAATTCTATTGGGGCCCTCCCTGGTGGTGCAGGGGTTACGTTTCAATACTGTGAGGCTATTAGCACCCAATGCAACATGAGCTTGATCCCTAGTCAGGGAGCTGACTGACCCACATGGCCTGGCAGACCTCTGTCTTGCCCGCGGCTCCCCTCAGCAGTGTATTTCAGTACACCTGCCTGTTCTGCTCCCACTCTGTCTCTAGTGAATCCTCTTATCCCCTGCACCTCTGGCCTATACCCCAGTTCTTATATGCATAAGTAAAGGAAGTCTTTAAAAAACATTTAATTCTACACAATGTGTTTGAGTTAACTACTGAGTTACTCTTTAGCCTAACCCTGCAGTTTAGCCTAACCCCGCAGTTTGGTTCTTATTTGTTCAGTAACACTAAGAGGAGCCAAAGTACCTCTACTTTCACACTCTTATCACCTATATCTTTTTTCTCCTCTCCTTTTCTCTCTCCATCCACCAAGCACCTTTTGGGTGCCCCAAAAGGAACCTGCTACCACAGCTACAGTAAAGCTCTCATTCTCATCACCCAGAGGTGCGGGCAGCACAATCCTGGCCTCAGTATCTGGGATCTAATGACCAGGGGAGCCACCTTTCTGATGCTTCCTCAGGAAATTCACATGACCTTGAAAACAAGGAGAATGCTGGACAGAAAGGACAAAGTCATGGGTGGTCTGGGGGTGACAACAGCGTGTCCTGACCAGGCAGTCTGATAATAATTGACGAGCAATTCAGAATCTGGTTTGCCTGCTTGTCCCCCAGCACAGGCTACAATGATTACTACCGCTGACTGCTCTGATTGCATTTAGTCACAGAAATAGCGTGAAGATTCACCTTTGCTCATAACTTGGGGGTCACCTCCCTTCAGAGGAAAGAGAATTTTACTGGTCAAAATCGTGATCCAGGAATTAACTGATTGGAGGTGTGAACTCTTTGTGTTGATTAACCAGGTTTTAAGTTGGTCTGCATTTATGGTTAACCTATGTATATTTTCATGTTTTCTCTACACAAGTAATGTGTTTAGACCTTGGAATTTTGTGAGTGAGTGACTCAAGTGTGG